GGTGGAGCTTGGGTTGTTGTTGATCCAACAATTAATTTACGTTATATGGAAATGTATGCTGATCGTATGAGTCGTGGTGGTGTACTTGAACCTGAAGGTACTGTTGAAATAAAATATCGTACTAAAGATATTATACGTACAATACATCGACTTGATAATATTTGTCGAGAATTAATAACAAATATTAGTTTATGTACAACAACAACAACAAATACAATGAAAGAAGATTTAGAAAGACAATTAGCTGAAAGAGAAAAATATTTATTATCAACTTATCAACAAGCTGCTGTTATGTTTTGTGATTTACATGATACACCAGGTAGAATGTTAGAAAAAGGTGTTATTCGAGTAAGTTAACTGAATTTTTTGTTTTTAACAGAAATGGAATATTGGTTTTTTTTTCTTTTATTTAAAGGAAATTCTTGATTGGCGAACAAGTCGAGAATTTTTTTATTGGCGTTTAAAACGTCGTTTAGAAGAAGATAATACAATTAAAACAATTCTAACTGCTAATCCTTCATTAGATTATCATGATGCATTAAATTATCTTCAACAATGGTTTAGTGAAGATAAACAAGATAATGTAAGATAATTAAAATGAAATAATCTAGAGTCAGAAAAAGTCAGCAGTGTTCAGACTTCCGAAAAAGGAAATTTCGGAAGTTTTGGAAATTTCAAGCACTTGTGTTCTAAATTGTTTGGTACTTTCCAAAATTATATAATTTCCGAAATTTCTGAAATTTCCAAAATTCTATACGTAGCGAAATTTCCGAAATTACAGAAAATTCTAAAATTTCTAAACTTTCCAATATTTCTAAAATATGTTCATTTGCTTTGCTATGTAGTTATCGAGTTGATGGAAGCTTCGGAAATTTCTGTAATTTCCTTTTTCGGAAATCCGAACATACCTCAAATATTGTACAACAGAGATGAGATCAGTTCGGTTAGAACTTTCTAAGAAACTAAGTCGGTTCGATTCGGTCCTAGAAAAACATGAACCGATCTCATGTCTGTTTGCAAACAAGTTCATCTGATGGAGAAAATATTTCTGAACAAAATAAGATGTTTCCAAGTTCTCTACAACCTTTTCTTTAGCGAATAAAAATCATTGTACGATAGGCCTAAAAAGCTATTTTCTGTTGTTTTTATAAAACTTTATATGAATTTACCGTATTTCACTTTTTGAGGCCATTCATAGAATAAGTGCAGTTTGCTAAAAACAGATCGTGAATATCTTATTTTATTTAGAAATATTTTCTCTATTGAATGAAATTATTTGCAAAACGTTTTTTGATAGAATTCAGAAATCTGATTTTGGAAGTCTTAGTTTTCCAGAGATCTCTCTCCTAAACTTGTTAATGATAATTTGACAAGTACTTCTCTTGATAGAAAATTGTGTTCAGTTATCTAAATGGCATCTCTGATTTATTCTAGCTATTACTATAAAGGAAAAAAGTCAGAAATCTTTTGTTGCTAAACTTTTTGCCTACACTTTATTTATTGATTTTTATTTATAATTTTGTATTATAGACTTTCCAATGGACAAAAGATAGAGTGGTCGTTCAATGGCTTGAAGAATTTAATAGTTCTTCAGCAATTAATGATCGCATAAAAAATCTACAAAAACAATATGCTCTTGAAGATATTTGTCGGTATGTTTTTTAATTTTAAATTTATTTAGAAAACATATTTATAATTTTTATTCAAAGAATATTCCAAATGCATCCTGATCTTTTATCAGATATAACTGAACAATCGGATGGTGACCAACGTCTTAAACTAATTCAAATTTTGAATAGAAAAAAAATAATTAGTCAATAGCATTTATTGTTACTAATATTATCACAGAATGTGATATCTTCATTTAATTCCTTCTCATTTACTTCAATATAAAGTCTTCTTATTATTATTATCCATTAAACATGAATAAAAAGAAAAAAACCAAGAATCTATATTTATGTATTTTCTTGTTTTTGTTTTTTGGAGTAATAGATCACGTTCTATATGGCTTTGTGTTAAATGCATTGGCCAACATGACATTCATTTACTGTTATCATTTTTATGTCGTTCTTGTTGTTGTTCTCTTTTTATCTTGATCGTATAAATAAAAAGTTTAAAAATAATTAGTGTAGATATTTTAAATTATAAATGATCTTCAATATTTACGGATTAATATTCGACACTTTACTGATTCTTCTTTTCTTTGCTTTGTCTGTTTGTAAATAGAGAACAATGAGAATTATGTCGTTTTTTTTTTCTATTTTAGTTTTATAATATTATTCAGTAAATAATTGAGATAATCAATTTTAATATATGTGTATCATAATTCATTATTACAATGAACGTCATTCAAAAGCAAGATGTACTCATCTTGTTTTATTTCTACGATTTTGTGCAAATATTTTGCACAAATTGTAGATAAACAAACAAAGACTATCAATAAAATTATGGTCACTTGAATAATAGATAACTAGTCCCGATATTTTTCGATTATTTGCTCATCATAACGAAAAAGATAAAGTTCATAATGTGTGTGATGAAATTCATACAGCTAATGAATAGTTGATGCTAGTTTTCTTCAATAAATCAGTCAGTTTGAAGCACATACATAAAGTTCTTGATCTCTTACTGCACTCATATGACTCTCTTTAGTTATCTGCACATTTGTAATAAAAGAAATAACGTCGATAATATACCATCGAAGTCATGTGGCTAGTGAATATTTCATTCATCGCATTCTAAATGGAGAAAATAGTCTATTATCAATCATCATTCCGTACATTGGGTCATATATTGCAAGAAAGACTTTATCATCATGAACACATGGTAACTCAAATATCGTAAGAAATGTTGCTGAATCCTTTTCATTTACAAGGAAGGCATTTCCATCGCGTTTTGCCATTTTTATTCTGCAAGGACTATAGTAACAGTTGTCTTAGCATATATATAAAACCAAATGTTTGGCAAGCCTTTTATTCTATTATTTTTTTAAATATCACTAGTCTGTTGAATTTCTAACAGTACTAAATTCAGTCAATACCATACCATCGAATTTGGTTTTTTTCTTTGCTTTCTCAACTTATACGTTAATTACACATATGTACAACAATTCTCTAAAACGAAATAAACTAATGAAGTGTACCATTGCCATTAGTAAATTTACATAATAATTTATATAAAACAAAACAAATAATATGTATAGCTCGTTCAAAAAGTCCGTGCGTGTGACTATTTTTTGAATAACTTTTGCTAGAAACAAGATAGAGACCTGCGGTTTTCGCCGTTCGATAGCCAAGGCGAAGAAGCATCTTTTCACTAGCAAAGTCTTTTCTGAGGAGCAATCTTGAAGTCGGTTTCTCATAAGATCTTTGGAAAACTAATTTGGATTTCTCAAAACTCACATGGAAGCCTTTTGATTTTTTTGCATATTTGGAATCTCCATTAAAAACTGAGTTAACCCATATATGTTTAGAACGTTTTCGAGACACTTTTTTTTCGTCGAAACCCTATGCCCGAGGGCCATGTCAATAAATAAAGTTAGTCAAAAGGTTACTTGGACAGTGGAAAGCAACTTTAGAAGTTGTAAAATACTACTAGAACACCAAATGGCGAAAGACTAAACGATAGAAACGGCGTTTTGACTGACTTTATTTATTGACATGACCATCGGGCATAGGGTTTCGACGAAAAAAAAGTGTCTCGAAAACATTCTAAACATATATGGGTTGACTCAGTTTTTAATGGAGATCCCTAATATGCAAAAAAATCAAAAGGCTTCCATATGAGTTTTGAGAAATCCAAGTTAGTTTTCCAAAGATTCTATGAGAAACCGACTTCGAGATTGCTCCTCAGAAAAGACTTTGCTAGTGGAAAGATGCTTCTTCGCCTTGGCTAGCGAACGGCGAAAACCGCAGGTCTCTATCTTGCTCCTAGCAAAAGTTATTCAAAAAATAGTCACACGCACGGATTTTTTGAACGAGCTATACTTAAAATATTCTATGACCATTGAGTATACCTTGAGTAAAATAATATTGAAAAAATAAAGAATAATTAAGACATTCATTAAATTAAAAATAATCTGTATCAGGTACTCGTATTATATTAAAAGTGATCGAAAACAAAAATAATTTCAGTGTTGCATTGCCTAATTTGTTTGCCATTTAATTAGATACATCTTTGCTCTAGAAGTAAATCTTGATGAATATCACGTAAAATATTACTAATACGTTTTTGTCTACCAGTTTTGTAGCTATTGACAATTTTTTCAAATATTCTTGATAAATATAGTTTTCTGATTTTTGTATTAATATCCATGCATGATTTATAAAAAAAAAACAAATAACATTAAAATCTCATTAAAGAAGATTCTACAGACTATCATCTGTAAGAGAGTTTTATGAATTAAAATGGATTAATATTGTTAAATAAGCCAGTAATTACTTATTAAACAATATTACTACGACAAAATATCACTCTACGGCCATATTAATCAATAAACTTTTAAGTAATAGAATTGATTTACATATGAGTTAACTACTGACTCGTACTCTCAATAATAAAAATAGCTAAAAAAAGCAATAGACCGTGAAATCACATTTCTTTTTTCTATCAAATATATGCATTTAGGAGAATGTCATTCGAAGGTACATGTAGATAAAATCGGATTTCTCATCAAACGATTCTTTATTCTTTAATTACAAGCATCTTACATATTCATATACATAACGGTTTTTTAATTCTAATTTTTAAGTATTATAATTTTGCCCATTTATCTTTTTTAGCAAATGGAAATCATTTGATTATTACCTTCGAACGACAGTTAATTATATTTATTTTTATAGGTATAGTATCTAATATAGCCTTGTACTCTCAGTACGAGAGCGTTTGGAGGACAAAAAAAATAGATTATCCTTCTCTCTTTTTTTTCCACACATGTGATCATTCAATTGCGTCGCAGTATTTGTTTATAAAATATCGAAGCAATTTCGTTCTTGAGTAAAATGGCTAATCGTCCGATTCCTCCTAAACAATCTTCAATACAAACAGATGATGAGGAGGATGATGAGGGTGGTGGTTAGTGTAATTATTGAATCTTTCTTGTTTTTGTTGTTTAATGGTTTTTTTTTTCCTCATTGAGATACATCAAATTCTGCTCCTCCATCTTCAAGACCAAAATTATCAGAAGAACAAGGTGAAACTCGCGTTATAACTATTCCAGAAGCTATTGGTCTTGATTTCAATTCATTTATTCCGCAATCTGACATAACATCACAAGTACATTTTGTAAGTGATATTCAACCAGATTCTCAAGCAAGTTTAGCTGGTCTTAAAGATGGAGATCGTATATTACAAATAAATGGAATAAATGTTACTAATCTTGAACATGAAGATGTACGAAAATTAATGCAATTAATGGCTCCAATTGTCTTAAAAGTAGAAAATGATCCAAAATATTTATTCGTACTTCAACAACCAATTGTCGATATTGAAGAAAAATCACCAGGTATTTTTATATAAATAAATCAATTTGTTTATTTCTTTTTTTTTTAGAACCTCCAATAACAGTAAATGGTGACACTAATTCAGATACAAATAATCGTCAATCAAATCGTACTGAATTACAAGAACAGCCATCACTTGACCCAACGGTATCATCTGGATCAAAATTAACTACTTCAACAAAATCACATCGTTATGAAACATTTAATATAATTCAATCTGATGAATCAATTAAAGAAGAGCCATTAAAAGCTAAATTATGTCGTTTACGTCAAAGTAAAAAATATGATGGTTATGGATTAGTATTAAAATATCAGCAAGATCTTCATGTGATTGGTGAAGTTGAAGAAGCATCACCATCATATCGAGCTGGTCTACGTGAAAATGATATTATTATATTTATTGGAAAAAAAAATGTAGAAAAGGCAACACATGATGATGTTAAAGTTATGATTCGAGCAATGATATTGGCATCGAATCAAGTCGAAATAACTGTTTTATCGAAACTTGATATTCCAAGATATAAAACATTACAAGAAAAAGGCTTAATCGATTGGTCAATTATGGGTTTAGAGAAATAACATGTATATTTATATATATATGTATATATATATATATATCAATTTGTTTATTTATTTACTTATTCGTTTATTTATTTATTTATTTACTTATTTATTTATTTATTTATTTATTTATTTATTTATTTATTTATTTA